GGCTACACAACACAATGAAGCCACCGGAGAGACTGACGCATGAATGCGTATTGAAAAAAAAAAAAGTTCAGTTTGATAAGTGACTTGCTTGATATATATTGTTTATTTTTTTGTTTTTCTTAACAATTAAGATGGTATGTTATTATCCAGTGTAATCCAAGTATGAGTCTCTCCCTCGACTCTCCCAACAAAAACCCGCCCCCCCTCTCAGAAAATAGTTCCGACGTCCATGCACACAACCATTGCTACAGTAAGAAGTATCAGCCAGTCAGGTGATGGATGAGGTACCATTTGATATTGAAAAAGACAAAAATATTACAATCTTAAAACTCCTTATATATATATATATATATATATATATATATATATATATATATATATATATATATATATATATATATATATATATATATAAATAATACATTTTCTCATGGTTCATACAGAAAGAGTAAAAAATGATTTCTTCATCTTTTACATGCTTAAGAAAGAGCCTTGTGAGTCACTATTTGACTTTTTGGGCTGAGAATTGATTTGCTGTGAGAGGGTGGTCCTCCCGTTTTAACTTTAATGTCTGAACGAGCTGATATAAAGTTGTTGACTGTGGCCCAACGTGTGAAAACTAGAGATAGAACCAGATATAGGAACACGTGACATCAATTCGATTCAATTCAATGTATTTTTGTATGGCCCTATATCACAACAGCAGTTATCTTAGAGGACTTTACAAAGGTGTCAATTCTCCAACGCAGATTAGAGAAACAAACCGTTCAAATCCAGAAATTGATTGATGAAAAAAACCACACTGGTCCATACGGGGTAGATGACCAATGTCCAGAAATGTTAATAAATGACATGGATTTTACTTTTTGTGCTTTAAAGTCAGGTACCTCAGCTTTAACTCAAACTGACAGGTTCAAATTTGCAAATTCATCCATCCAAACGAAGTGCCTCAAACGTGGGGTCCATGGGAACACGCTGATCTTCAGTGAGTCACCATGTTTTGACACTGGCCATTTGCATGCAGAAAAAGGCCTACAAAAAAATAAAAACCCCTTCCACTTTTACTTGTTTATTTCTCTCTACGGCTGAAAGAAAATAAATGATGGCAAGCGGCTATTAGGCTTGAGGTATGAGTAAGTTGTTTGGCAGGTGGAGACGCGTAATGAAGCGCTGGATCTTTCATTTGTGTGCTCCTGGGACCGTGCAGGTCAGAGGCACTTTCTGTAGTGGAGACATTTTACCGAAGATCATTAGCTCCAACACGCCCGAGGTTCCAGTCCGGCTCGGCACCCCCCAAGCTCCATCCCAGACTTCATTAAACCCCGGGTCAGTTTGGTCCATGACTTATATCTTTCTCACTTCCTTCCTGCCACTGGCTGTCGCTTCGCTCTGACAACTCTATGGATATGCAAGTCGTATGCAAAGTGGATTCCTATGCTTTTGACAGAGAGAGTGTGTAATGTGTTTTAAAGCCACAGTTAATAGTATGACTGCTGCTGCTACTGCTTCTCCTGCTACTGCTGCTGCTACTGCTTCTGCAACTCATTGTTATCATTACAACTACTGCTGCTGCTACTGCTGCTGCTACTCATTATTATTACTACTGCTACTACTGTAACTACAACCCATAATCATACCACTACAGCTATTCTGCTACTGACTACTACGACAACAACTGCTGCTGCTACTACTACTTCTGCTATTGCCACTGCTACTAGTAAGTAAGTAAGTTATCTTTATTTATATACCGCCTTTCACAGACCAGAGGCACAAAGCGGTAAACAATTGTTGTTTTGGGCATTTGTCCACTCACTCCACACAGAGATGGGAGCAGGGTCGCCAGTACAGGAGGCGCATGCCAGACCTATTGTGCATGTTTTTAGCGGTAGGGGAAACCGGAGTACCCGGAGGAAACCTACGCAGACACGGGGAGAACATGCAAACTCCACTCAGAAAGGCCCTGGTCCGGCCAGGATTTGAACCCAGGACCTTCTTGCTGAGAGGCGAGAGTGCTATCCACTCAGCCACCGTTCTCATAATACTGCTACTACGACCACTACTCTTATACTACTAAAACTACTTCTGCTACTGCTTCACTACTGCTTCTTCTACAAATACCACTACTACTGCTACTCCTAATTCTACTACAACCACTACTATTATACTACTAAAACTACCTCTACTGCTGCTACTGGTAGTACCACTACTAGCACCCATTATTATAACAGCTTTATCATTAAAAATATACTATTTTATTTTTGTTTTACCATTATTGTTCTTTTGAATGCGCTGGAAACAACAACAAGCCCTAAGGAGCTGGCTTTTTTATAGCTGTTAATGTTACTGCTGTATACAGTGTCCATGGTTTTACACTGATCCAGACCAGAGCATACAGAATGCATGGTCCGACCCAAGCAGATCAAGCATAAATCCATTGGAGGAATGCCATTTTTTTCTGAAAAATGCTAATAAAGTATTCAGAATTTCTCGGACCAGAGCAGAGAAAATGGTCTGAACCAAGCAGGCTTTGCATACATCAACCAGAGGATCTACCGTCTCTATGAATCTCGTCACCAAAGCAGATTCCCATAATTTCTGAATTCTCTCACTGACAATAACAATTAACCTTTTTCTTAATTTACAGTTTGGAAGTAGTGACAGAGCGTCCCACAGGCTGACGCTAAATAAACTTGTCTTTTTTTAACTAAAACAGGAAGCTGGGTCTTATCTGGACTCCTCCTGACAATGGCACTGTTGTCCTCCACTCTGTATCGGCAACACTCTCAGATACTGCACAAAATACATGAACCACAGTACATACTCTGCCATTATTCTTACATCACTTATTGCCACATATAGAGAAGGGAGATTTTGGCTTTAAATGTAGATGTCTTTTGAGCTATGTCTTCTAAAATAATAGTGAAAATATTGTAAACAAAAAAATAGGTATATAGACAGGTATATTAATTTACTTTCTATGTTGTTTTTTCTCTCTTTGTCTTATTATTGCCAAGTCTACAATATATAATGTAGTCCCAATGAGATGTAGACCTGTTTTCAAGTATGAATGTAGGCTTGTCTTGGTCCAGACAGATTTATGCCTCCTGAATTATTACTTCTATGTAATATTTTATAAAGTGGCGACTGACAACTCACTGCAGTTACTCTATTGGGTATTTATTCTTCCCCAAATGTTTCCCCTTATTGCTTTTCTTTTGCCAAGTAAGTATTTGTACAGTGCTTTTTCACACAAAGTAGCTGATATATTTTTGTTTTGTATTCATTCTCTCAGCTACTAAAATAACCACAGCTATACAAACAGGCAGTTTTGCACAAATACATGTATAATATTTAGAGCTAATTATTAAAAATATTCGCAGAAAAAAGGAAAAAAACGATACAAATTTCATACATACAGTATACAAATGTACGTCAATAATACATAGGCATAGTAAGAGACATATAGACATACAGGCAGACATACAGGCAGACATACAGGCAGACATACAGGCAGACATACATGCAGACATACAGGCAGACATCCATGCAGACATACAGGCAGACAGACAGGCAGACATACATGCAGACATACAGGCAGACATACATGCAGACATACAGGCAGACATACAGGCAGACATACATGCAGACATACAGGCAGACATACAGGCAGACATACAGGCAGACAGACAGGCAGACATACATGCAGACATACATGCAGACATACAGGCAGACATACAGGCAGACATACATGCAGACATACAGGCAGACAGACAGGCAGACATACAGGCAGACATACAGGCAGACAGACAGGCAGACATACAGGCAGACATACAGGTAGACATACAGGCAGACATACATGCAGACATACAGGCAGACATACAGGCAGACATACAGGCAGACAGACAGGCAGACATACATGCAGACATACATGCAGACATACAGGCAGACATACAGGCAGACATACATGCAGACATACAGGCAGACAGACAGGCAGACATACAGGCAGACATACAGGTAGACAGACAGGCAGACATACATGCTGACATACAGGCAGACATACAGGCAGACATACAGGCAGACATACATGCAGACATACATGCAGACATACAGGCAGACATACAGGCAGACATACAGGCAGACATACAGGCAGACATACAGGCAGACATACAGGCAGACATACATGCAGACATACAGGCAGACATACATGCAGACAGACAGGCAGACATACAGGCAGACATACAGGCAGACATACATGCAGACAGACAGGCAGACATACAGGCAGACATACAGGTAGACATACAGGCAGACATACAGGCAGACATACATGCAGACAGACAGGCAGACATACAGGCAGACATACAGGCAGACATACATGCAGACAGACAGGCAGACATACATGCAGACATACAGGTAGACATACAGGCAGACATACAGGCAGACAAACATGCAGACATACAGGCAGACATACAGGTAGACATACAAGTAGACATACAGGCAGACATACAGGTAGACATACAGGCAGATATACAGGCAGACATACAGGCAGACATACAAGTAGACATACAGGCAAACTATATAAATATCCATCACCATGGTCAGTATATATAACATATATATATATACACACATGTTTACACTGTATCTTATCTTGTTGTTTGAGAATACACATTGTAGTCTTTCTTTGATACTAACATGCCAATAATATTTCCTCATGTGGGGAAGCTGGTCCGAATGTCAAAAGGAGACAACAGAACTCAAAATGTGAAAATTCAAAGCGGAAGATAAATTTCAAACAAACAGACCTGTCTCTTTGGTCTATGTGGCCTTTAAATCTCAGCTCCGCCCAGCCGACAAAAAAACATCAAATAGAAATCACAATACATAGGTGATAATTGAAATCCGGGATGAAATTGGTCACTGCTATAGTCACTTTTAATTTAATTTACTATCGTATATCTTGCACAAAAGAGACCATGTAACCCATATTGTCACACTCAGCCTTAAGTGCTGCCCTCTATCTGCTGGTACGATATGGACACAAAGTCTGCTAAACTGGAGGCTTCCTGCTGCTGGGCCAGTGCACCTGCAGCATCCTGGTGCTGTCCAGAGACCTGGTGGAGGCGGGGACATGTCAGATGAAACGTTTCTCTTTGGCTGGTGTTCTGAGGCCGGTGTGCCGCATCCTGCTGCTGCTCTGCGGGGCGGACAGCCTGAAGCCACTGCTGCTGGACATGGGGCCATTGGACAGTGACCAGTGTCTGCAAACATCTAGTCACCGGCTCCACACGACTGCCCGACAAGGGAGGACAGAAATTAGTAAGTAGTGTGCAAAATAGGATTTAAAAAGACAAAACAAGTAGATTTTGATCCAGATTGGCTTCACCATAACATAAATTTGGACAAAGTACCTTTTTTTCCCCTTAATTAACCCTGATTGTTAAGTCTTGTGAATAAATCAGTACACAATATGCTGTCTTGATGCTGACTTATTAGAAAACATTTTGCATACTTGTTAGAAAGACCGCTGTGAGTCCCTATTTGACCCTTTGGGCTGAGAGTTGGTCCTCTCTTTTTCACCTTTCTGTCTGAAAAAGCTGATCTAACGATGCAGTTTTAGAGCCAGGAACAAGTTAAATGGATTTCATTACATAGTAGATTTTTTTTAGTTTGAAAATATAGGTACCTCAGCTTTAGGACAAGCACCTTCTTACTTGTCACTATTTAAAGATGATATCAGAAACGTGTGCAATATCTATATGACATTGTTTTAAATCATGCATATTCCTAACTGATCATGGGATGGGACACTGTACTTCCATGTACTGTAAGCACAGCAGAATGGGTCATTTGGGTTGCCAGGTGAAATTAAGATGGTTTTGGCTTTTTTGTTTTATTCATTTAATTATTTTTTGTGCACAAAATTCACACAAAAAAACCCAGCACCACACACACAGGTACATAAAGCAGTCATATGTAGTACGCAGAGTTTGCACAGTTCATAGCTAAACCCTGGCAGATGGTTTGCATCAGTAAACACTGCTTAGGAGCTGCATGTGTCACAGACAGGAAGCATAAAAAAAGCATTCTAGCATCAAAAAAACGTGTGATTGTGATTAATTTTTTACTTTATTACTTTGAGGCTTCTACTCTGACAACGTTCAAAACCAGGTTAAAGCAATTCTGTTTACCTGTGCATACAACTGAAGGATAGTATCTTTGCTGTTTTCAATGCACTTGGTATTTATGATGATTGTGTGCACCACGTGCACTTGTATATTGTAAATAGTAACTGTAACTCTATCTTAAATTTAAATTTATTCTTTAGAAGTGTTTTTTTATTCTTATTTTTATTTTTCTCTTTTTGACTGTTGCACTGAGCCAAGCAATTTCCAAGTCTGTGACCTCCTGTTACTTACGTGGCAATAAAAATGATTCTGATTCTGATTCTGATTTCAATGTTTCTTCTCTTGCACTTCGAGTTGCCTTGTGTTTGAACTATTCTAAACCTGCCTTGCCTATTAGACTGCACCGGCCCCCTTTAAACTCCATTAAGGCAGTTTCTCACACAATTCCCGCTATAGATCAGAAACAAAACTCTCATTTCTGTTGAATATGTAAACGCCAACCCTTCGAAAGCTGTTCATCAAATGACTTTCTCCCGACTTCAGCGCCTGGAAGATTGACATCCAATATTTATCCCCAGCTGCAAAGCCATCTCTGCTCATCTGCCACGCCAGCAATTATTCTCTGCCTGTCCTCCTGTTTTCACTAATTGCCCTATTTGTGTAAAATCATAGTTGTTTTTTATACAGGTGCGCGCAGGAGGAACATCTCATGCAAATAGCGTTTTTTTTTTCCTCTCTGCAGCGACTGATTACACACGGTGAGCCATGCAAATGCGAGTGCTCTCTGCCCCACTTCACCGCTCTGGTACAGTAGAGTGCTTCGTGCCAGGGACGCACTAAAACTGTTAGGTTTTTCTGCTCACGAGGGCAGTCTCCTATTCAAATACCACCGTGCTTTTGTTAACTGGGTGCGCCTCACATATTCAGATAATGTCTACTTCATTACTCTCACATCTGCATGACAAACAAAGCCCTGATGCTCTTTACATGAGGAAAAAAACTGTTTTTTGTAATGAGTGCTATGTTGGAGTGGAGTGAGCCTAATGATCAACTTACCGTTACATAATATAGCACTGTATATAATATCACAATTACGCACGGCAAGTTTGTAGAGCACAGATCATACACAAGAGAACTCAAAGTGGTTTACAAAGATATAATGATAATAATAATAATAATGCATCGGTTTTATATAGCGCTTTTTTGGACACTCAAAGACGCTTCACATGTGTCATTATTCATTCACTCCATACACGGTGGTGATAAACTACTACTGTAGCCACAGCTGCCCTGGGGCACACTGACAGAAGCGAGGCAACCAGTATGTGCCATCGGCCCCTCTGACCACCACCAACCATTCACACACACACCAGACTCATTCTAGGCAATGGGGGTGAAGTGTCTTGCCTAAGGACACAACGGCAGTTTGGCACTTTACAGCCGCAGCCGCCCCACTGTGGCTGGTGTTCCCAGAGGTTAAGTGTCTTGCCAAGGACACAACGACAGTAGTCAGTGGGAGTCGATGGTGAAAGTCCTGAGCGGGGCTTGAACCCACGACCTTCTGGCTCAAAGGCCAACGCTCTACCAACTGAGCTACTGCCGCCCATAATAAGATATAAACAAAACAAAAAAATCCCAGTATTCAAAAGAGTGAGGATGACATGCTTTTGTGTGCACAGCCAAAGAGAACTGTTTTACACTGGATGTGAACATGTGAGAGTAGAAGCCTATTTCATTCGTGCATTTTTTAAATACGGACGGTATGAAAGGCGCTCTACAAATATAGATAGATTGATTGATAACAATAACATTGGACCAGATGCATTTGGGCTTTTACATTACAGAAGATTAAAAAAACATGTCAAAGAATTACAATAAAATTTACGTGAAAACAAGATGGTCATGTTAGTCTGTAGTTTTAGCCCAGTGGAGAGCGAGTTCCACCGTCTTACATTTTCAGGAAGATCCTAGCTGCATAAATCTGAAATGCTGCCTCCCCATTTTTAGTCCTGACTCTGGGCACCAGCAGGAGGTCAGTCCCTGTGCTCCTCAGAGTCCGAGTTGGTTCATATGGTCCTACCATGTCTCAGATGTACTTTAGTGCGAGGCCATAGAAAGACTTGCAACGAGCAGAGCAGCTTTAAAGTCTATTCCCTGAGCCACAAAAAGCCAGTGAGAACTGGACTGATGTGATTAATTATACAGTTAAATATGGCTTAAAGCTGGGGTACACGATACATAATGCATGATGTTTGTCTCAACAGACAGAGTCTTGTAAATGCAAAATGCTATTGGATCAAATTGATTCCCAACATGCAGCTCTCATCGCATTTGAACATTCTTAAGAAAGAACCCTGTGACAATCTGATGCTTTGGGTTGAAAGCTAATTATCTGAGTGACAGTGGTCCTCTTTTTCTCTTTTCTCTGAAAAAGCTGATCTAAATAAACAAAATGTTTTGAGAATGAGAATGAGACATAATTCCACTTATAGCTAAAAAATGAGATACCCCAATTCAGAAAAGCACTTTTTTACTTGAAATGAGTCATGAGTTTCTCGCAGTTGGACAAGAAATTCCAAGTAGTAGGTTCAATGTTACATTGTTATGACCTGTTATCTGGCACATTTTTCTTGCAAAATTGCATTTTTCAGTGCCTCCTTTTCAATTAATATAATTTAATAAATGCAACACAATATATGAATTCAAACTTGAAAATGTTATACCAGGAACAAGACATGAGGGGTAAAACTATGGGCCAACAACAAGATAACAGAGGCACAGGGTCTAAATACACACAGGGTGAAGGTGAGGCGAAAAACAACAGGATGGACAGGAAGTAAAACTAAAGCAAGAGAGAGAAGGAATATACATCAGATAAAACCAGGTAAATCAACAAAAAATCCACCCCACAATATTGTATGTTGTATATGGGGCCAGGTCTTTATTGAATTGTTCTGATACTGCTAGAACAAAATCATTCACTTTGAAGCCTGCAATATTGTAACTTCAACATGTCGAATATCAACATGAGGAAACCTGGTGGAATAGAGCAAAACACAGGAATTCAACCAGCAGCTATGATATAATATCCTCCATTTCTCTTGTTTCCTCCAGAGTTCCCTGTGGGGCAAGGCTCTAATCTCCTCTTCAGTCACTGTTTCATGCCATTCATTGTACTTTATCCACAAAACTCCTCACTCGTTTCTCTCTCCCACAGCCGCGTGGAGGTGTTCCTGCTTTTAAAAGATGAAAGTGCAGACAATGTCACTGAGGTGGAATGCTCAAAACATAATTTAACAGTGAAAGTCCAGGCTGCAGAGTGACGAACCTGTAGGCATCACCAGGTCAGGAGAAAGTATATACAGTATGTACACACAGTCACAAACATATTTCATTTCATTGATATAGAAAGTATCTGTGGAAATATAGAAACTTGATCTATCATTTATTGGCTTATTCATTGGAAATCATACTCAGAGAGAGACCAGACCCCAGGGGGAAGAGAGAGGGACCAGGCAAAAAGGACAGAGAAAGACCAGAGAGAGAGAGACCAGAGATAAAGGGATCAGAGACCAGAGAGAGATAGCATTGGAAAAAGACACCAGAGAGTGAGAGACGAAAGAGACCAGAGAGTGAGAGACCAGAGAGAGACCAGAGAGACTAGAGATAAAGAGACCAGAGAGACCAGAGAGAGAGAGACCATGAGATAAAGAGACCAGAGAGTGAGAGACCAAAGAGAGACCAGAGAGAGAGACTAGAGATAAAGAGACCAGAGAGACCAGAGAGAGAGACCATGAGATAAAGAGACCAGAAAGTGAGAGACCAGAGAGAGACCATGAGATAAATAGACCAGAGAGTGAGAGACCAGAGAGAGACCAGAGAGAGAGACTAGAGATAAAGAGACCAGAGAGTGAGAGACCAGAGAGTGAGAGACCAGAGAGAGACCAGAGAGAGAGACTAGAGATAAAGAGACCAGAGAGTGAGAGACCAGAGAGACCAGAGAGAGAGACCATGAGATAAAGAGACCAGAGAGAGACCAGAAAGAGACCATAGAGACCAGTGAGAGAGACCAGAGAGAGAGACCAGAGAGAGAGACCAGAGAGAGAGCGACCAGAGAGAGACCATAGAGACCAGTGAGAGAGACCAGAGAGAGAGCGACCAGAGAGAGACCAGAGAGAGAGACCAGAATGAAAGACCAGAGAGAGAGACCAGAGCGAGAGCGACCAGAGAGAGAGCTACCAGAGAGAGACCATAGAGACCAGTGAGAGAGACCAGAAAGAGAGCGACCAGAGAGAGAGCGACCAGAGAGAGACCAGAGAGAGAGACCAGAATGAAAGACCAGAGAGAAAGACCAGAGCGAGAGCGACCAGAGAGAGACCAGAGAGAAAGACCAGAGAGAAAGACCAGAGAGAAAGACCAGAGAGAGCGACCAGAAAGAGAGCTACCAGAGAGAAAGACCAGAGAGAAAGACCAGCGAGAGAGACCAGAGAGAGAGCGACCAGAGAGAGATCATAGAGACAGTGAGAGAGACCAGAGAGAGGCCAGCGAGAGGCCAGAGAATGACCACAGAGACCAGTGAGAAAGACCAGACCATAGACAGATAAGATAGACGAGAGAGAGATCAGAGAGAGAGATGACGTTAACACAAACCTACTAAATAAACCTTTTTCTGAGTTGCAATCATTAGTGTTATAAAGCCTATTCATTTGAAATTATTTGTGTATTTTTTAAGAGTAATGTATACGCACTCAAACCTTTTTACTGCACTCTGAACGCTTATTTAATAAACCAAACAAATGTATGAAATTGAACTCCAAAGACGCACCTTCTGTCAATACATACATGTCATATGAATGAGCGATGAAGTTGTCTGTGAGTGTTGTATCCATGTAGAAAGACTTTGAGCTGTATATAATTGCCATTCGTTGTCACAGATTTCATCGCAGGAAAAGTGAAAGTGACTGTGTTTTGTGAAGGATTGGCCTTGAAGAATAAAGAGCTATTGAACCGCTGTCTGGAGGAAATGTGTCTGTCTGAAGCGACGGAGCCCGTTCGGTTCATGTGTCAGCTACTGTATAGACTAAACAATGAGAACAAAACAGAAACAAAGTGAGAGAAATAGACAATAATGATAATGAATTTCTGAGCAACGGTAAAGTGACTCTCTTTCATCTTCTTATCACAGTTACCTCACAGTTACTTACAGCTCACTTGGACGCCTTCAGCTGATTCAGAATGCTGCTGGGAGAGAGAGCACATCACCCCTGTGCTGGGGTCACTTCACCAGCGTCCCGTCACATTCGGCCTTGATTAAACATACTTGTGCTTGTTTCTAAATGTTCAAAAGACCCCTGTATATCTGTCAGAGCTGTTATGTCTGTCTGCTGCTGTTAGATTTGAGTGTTTCCTTTTTCCCTTTCCTTGATGAGGAAGGCATGGACCCTTCCATGATGACCCAGGACAGACTACTTACTTAACGATATTTATAGACTTCATCCACATTTATGGACATTGGTCACTCATTCACCACTTATGGACCAACGGCTCTATGTGTGTGTGTGTGTGTGTGTTTTTAATCATTGATTCTCTGATCTGTGTTGGCAAATCAACAATTTTGTGATGTCCTCTGAGATAACTATTGTTGTGATTTAGGGCTATACAAGAAGAAATTGAATTGAATTGAATGGATTGGAGAGGTCATAAAACTCGATTTTGTAGAAAGACTATTACTATTGCTGCTTTCAAACTGTGGAATTGTTCATCCCTGTTTCTGAGTAGCTTCCTCGTTGGAGGTTTTTAGAACCGGCATGAAAAGCAGCTGGTGTTAAAAGTAAAAGCACAAATGTTTTCTATTGTATTTGTGTGTTTTTCCTATCGTTTTCTTTTTACCTTTTCTTTTGTGCATGTGGAGCACTTTTGGCAGCTTGTGTTGTTGTAGATGGAACTGACAAAACATACAG